AAGGGCAACCATTCTGCACCCCTTACTTGCAAACAAGCCCTACTTAATGGCACATATTCAGGGCTGGTGTTAAAGATTGCATGGATGGGCATTGGCTAAAGCCGGGTTTTCCAAATTTGGCCATTTTTAAAAGAGTGGACTACAACTCCCAGAATCCCCCAGCCAGCATGGCTGGCTAGGGAATTCTGGGAGTTGAAGTCCACTCATCTTAAAGTGGCCAAGTTTGGACAACACTGGGCTAAATGTGGAACCCAGCAGGGCCAGCTTCTGACCAGAAGCATCCCAGGCAAAGTATTCCCACACATCACTGACTGGTGAGAACATTGCAGGAGGAAAGATCTGTTAGTCTGCGGTGGCAAAAAATCAGGAGTTTGGTAGCACCTTTTCCAACTAACCAATTTTATTCAAAGGCATAAGCTTTTGTGATCCGCAACTCATTTCATCAGATGCATAGGGTGACTAGACCAATGAAATATTGAAATCGGGGTGCGGTGAGAGAGATTGCTGAACTCATATACATCAAAAGGTTTTCAGGCATTCTCAAAAGGTCTTAACAAACACAATGGATTTTTAACACATTATGACTGAACGGTGAGTTCTAGTCCTGCCTTAGGCATGAAAGTCAGCTATGGGACTTTGGGCCAGTCCTCCTCTCTCAACCCAGCTCACAGGGTGGTTGTTGTGGGGAAAATAGGAGGAGGAAGGAGTATTAGGTATGTTCGCCACCTTGAGTTATTTATAAAAAAATAATAAAGGCAAGATAAAAAATCTTAAAAACCTGTCTACTCCTCCCTTTCCTCCCCACCTCAACCTAATTTAAATCTTACATCAGTCTAGCCACGCCACGCCCTTGATGAAATAAGCTGTAGCTCAAGAAAGCTTACACTTTTAATAATATTTGTTAGACAGAAAAGGTGCTACCTGACTCCTGATTTTATGACTAGTGAGAAGTAACAGAAAGAAAGGAACAGCTGCTTGTCTTGAATGGCCCGGTTTGTGTCTCTAAAGTAAAGTTGTTGCTCTCAGGTACATTAAGTCATTGGCAGTATTACAGTGAAACTCAACTACTAGTCATACTATGGGTGGAGTGCTGTGATGGAATGGAATTATGAAGGCCAGGCTCAGGGAGATAAACATTTTCTTAGCTCCCCAGAAGAGTGTGGGAG